CACAAAGTGCTGTACCTGTTACGAAATCTGCACTTCGAGGTTCACCAAGTGCTGCGTCTGCCACGAAATCTGCACTTCGAGGTTCACAAAGTGCTGTACCTGTCACGAAATCTACACTTTGAGGTTCTCCAAGTGCTGCGCCTGCCACGAAATCTGTGCATCGAGGGTCACAGAGTGCTGTGCCTGCCACGAAATTTGCGAACGAGCCACATGTCCAAAGTCCCGATTCACTGCACCTGTCACGAAATCTGAGCTCCTCGACGATCACCACCATGTACCGAAATGCGCACGGCACCACAACGAGAGCGCAGTCGCCTGAAGCACCCGCCGCCGGCAGGCAGATTTTGCGAGCCTGCGCAGTCGAAGTGCACATGGACGATGTCGAGAGGCATGAATGCACTGTAAATAGCAGCGAACTAGCCGTTCACGCCCGCGCGCTTCAGCGATCTAAACACCAGCTGCTTTTCTACTACCGTAAGAACCCCTCAGTGTGCCCACACTGTTTGGGGAATGAAAACAATCATATACTGCAGTTGCTGCTGAGCCGTTTGGAAGGCCCGGCTGGATGTTTAGACCCGGTAGACTTGGAGCAGGTAGAGAGGGTGAGAGAGGAGATATGAAAACACGTTATCATGACGGAAACTAGGGGCTTGAGCAACCAACGCATCTTTGGCAGCAGAATTTGGTTTGCTTCTTATGTCTTCCAGCTCAGATGTGCTCACCAACTGTGGTTTTCAGATGCGCCGCGCAATTTTTAAAGTCCACTGGCCCCATTTTACAAGCTTCAGCCAAACTGAGAATGTTTTTCCCCTAAGGGTTCACAGGCGCATCGTCAGATTGCAAAAGCCACGTGAACCTTGTTCCGGCATGTCACGCATTCGATCTTCTGTGCGTGACGGATCAACCTGCTCTTGATCCAATACATTACATGACTAGCAAGGGAGCACCAGGATGTAGCACCCCAACCAAAAGCAACCAGCATGCAACATACGCCCACATATCTGAAAACGCAGTGTTCGTGCGATTTTGATCGATTTGTTTGATAAAACGATCTCGCAAATAACTGGCCTTACAAAAAGTTCGGTGCAAGGTGAGCACGTTCAAAACAAACTCTGGACACATTGACAGGAAAACAATTGTTGGTTCATGGATGATTGCATGTGGACAGAACAATAACATTTGACAACGCATATCAACACATAACAATTGTGAGAGCAACGCTCGAGCAAGCAGCAAACAAAGGCGCTTGAAGAAATGCGCTAACCACTGCCCCTATCTATGTAACACATTATTGTATTGACATGTCTTGGTTCTGACCCGTTTTGACTGTCGATTCGGTTTCAACTTCTGATGTACGCTACGCTGATGTGTTACCACCTGACACCCACCCAGGTGATCAAGAGTTTGGACTTTTGGCGTTCATGCCCAGTGCTGCGACGGCTGAAGAAATCGCAGATCACCTGTGTACTGGAGCGAGGCCTGCAGAGGCCAGTCAGTCTTTCTGGTTTGAGACTTGCCTATAGTCTATAGTGAGCAACCTGGGCACCACCTAGTCACTTGCTTGTGAATTTGTTTTACTCATGTTGGCGTTTGCAGAGTAGAGAATCCAGGGATCCGGGTGTGGAAGTACTTAGTACTTCTCGCTGAGCAACACTTCCTGTGTTTGGCCAAGGGGGTAAAGCAGGTAAATCATAGCGCTTAGGACATGTGAAACATCTTGTTTTTTGCACCTGGTGCCCGTGCGTAGGGCACGCTCGATTCGTCGTGGCCTTCCTGCGCGAGGAAACGTGAATGGCATCTTGGATATTATGAGTTTGCATCAACGCCGTTCATGTTTGAACTGCAGTTGTTTTGTGGCGTTAATCCAAATCTGGCCAGGTCAACCAAACAGTGATATATAGTCTCATTACTGATAATTGCGCACATGTTTGCCTATATTGGGAGCATTGTGTCAGACTTGTAGTATGACTTGGAGCAGGCCTTTTGAACTGCGCAGTCTTTTAAGTCATGGGCCCCCTGTGGGCCGGTTGATGTTTTTATCAGCAGCCAAGGGAAGGCATGCTGCTGGTTTCCAAGTTTGTTGACCTCATTGGAGCCAACTATGGTTGCGAAGCCGCTCCATGGCGGAAGTCAAGCAAAGTTACCGGGTCTGGGAGTGTGAAGACATGTGAAGCCGCATGTTTTTTGGGAGAGCGATGCGGCATTGATTTTGTTGTGGGAGACGCAAACACAACTATTCAATCTGGAGTGGAGGTCAATCTCTTCCATTACCAAGCACGTGGGCGTTTGAAGCCCCCCAGCTAATCCAAGCAACAATCAACGGAGTCGTGCTGCCATCCCTATACTATATGGAATTTTAGTCATAAGTAAGTTATAACTCTAGTTAGGGAACTACAAGTAAAGTTGTATTTCGATAACAGAACTTGTATTAGGATAAGTATGTATAACTATAGTTATACTTAAGGAATTTAACATAGAGTTATAACTTAGTAAGGCTAGAACAAGTTAGATGTAAGTAATTTATAACTAAACCGGGTGGAGTTAGATGGAAGTTATAACTTAGTTAGGTCTTAGTTATACAAAGTTATTTCGACTTATTCATAGTTACAAAACAGAGTTTCACCAAAAAACATTGTGCAGTTTTTGGATCAAGTGTGCAGGAGATATATAGTTTGAGGCATGTCGGCTGTGACGGAGTCCATGGCGAAGACACGAAGGCAGCAGCAGGACTACACGCGCTTCGATAGCAGGGCGGGGCGGAAACATGTATAGATTCGCCTTATATCTATATCCCTTTTGTTTGTATATATATATATATGTGTATGTATATGTTTGTATCCATATGACGACATTCCGTACATATAAGTTTTTTCGGTTGTCGGCCGCGTGTCGGCCCCACGTCAGAACGCCGTCGCCGTCGCCGTGTCGGCCATATGTCGGCCCCAATACATGTATATATACCACACGCCCCAGGGTTGCATTTCGTGATGTCGGCCTTGCGTCGGCCCTGTGTCGGCCACCCGCTGGCGAGAAACTCATTTCAGCAATCCTTTTGAGCTGCTCCAACCGCCTGCGGTTCTCTGGATCCACCAAGTGGGGCTCGACGTGGCGTCTGACAGACGAGGTGACCTGGCATCGAGTGGACCAACCGACTCGATGGCTACCGGCGAGCTGGTGGCGACAGATCGATCAAAGTATCGACTGTATACACTGAAGCGCACGCGTCGGCTGTAGCGTTTGGCTGAGACCTCCCCGTTCGCGCGCGGAAAAAAGAAGCGTCTGTTTTAGGGAAAAAGAAGGTAGTTAGTTCTTAGTTATAAGTAAGTTATGAACTACTTATGGAACTTATAAATAGGAAATAACTTAGTTATAACTTCGAGTTATAACTAAGATATAACTCACTTCTTCTAGGGTAAGTTAGTTATAACTTTACAACAACTAAGATTCCATATAGTATTTGCTTTTGCTGCAACTTATCTCTTTTTGAGCTCACCAATCAGCCTTTGCTAGTGCCTTTGCAGATTGATAGCTTAGCCTTTCTGATGCTTCTTATCAATAGGCCGGCCTGCCAGTTCTCCTATGATTGTTGCTTCCAACTGGCTTACTATAAATTGTCAAGAAAATGTGTAGAGTTCAGGGTTTACAGATTTCGTTTAATACAACAACTATATAGGGCAAATCACTTGAGAAGCTCACAACAGTACTGCTAGTACTACCACTACCACTACCACGGATACTACTACTACTACTACTCCTCCTACTACTACTCCTCCTACTCCTACTGCCACTGCTACCACTACCACTACTACTACTCCTCCTCCTGCTGCTATTGCTACTCCTAGCACTACCGCTACTACTACTACTACTACTACTACTACTACTACTACTACTACTACT